CTATTCTATTCTATTCTATTCTATTCTATTCTATTCTATTCTATTCTGTAATGATGATGTTGTTGTACATTCATTCATGTCCAACTCCTGGCAATTGTATGGACCAAGTTATTCAGAGTTTTGCAATGTTAATTTAGCGCCAGAAAAATAAACACAGATGGCTGATGCTTCATTTAACATCTTTATAAACATAATAAGTAGATTTTACAAACCAGTTGCAGATTTCTCCAACATGGAACAAACTCAGACAGAAACATGTTGCAAGTAACTTCAGTAGCCCAGAGAACAGAAACAACAGAAACAGACACCAGTTTCACTTTAGTTCAGCAGGCAAGCAAGCAAGAAGCAGTTTCATTTTCAATAGACAGACTCAGAGCTCAACATAGATCCAGAGCTGCAGAGCTTAATATAGAGCCACGCCTAGGCTACTTCTAGATTCAGTTTCCAGCCTAGGCTACTTCTAGTTTTAGTTTCCAGCCTAGGCTACTTCTAGTTTCAGGTTCCAAACAGTCCCCGTTGGCTGACTTAGTTGCTATACCTATTCATTGGCTGACCCTTGTTACCATGCTCTGTTCATGAATATACTCTGACATAGGTCCCTCCACATCTTCCGATCTTACACTATTTCTTTGGATTGTTCTTTGAGCTGACTGGGTCCAGCTTTGATGGTGTCCAGCCACCATGTTCTTTGGTGGCCTGGTTTCCTTTTACTGCTAACTCTTCTCAACATAGTTGGTTTCTCCAGTGAATGCCCCTGCTTGATGTGGCCATTCTGTCAGGAATGAACCATTAGTCAGTGGAACAGCTGGCCTTCGGAAGTTCTGGGTGCTCCATCACTTGAGGCTTTTAAGAAGAGATTGGACAACCATGGGTCAAGTTTGTCATCCCTCCCTTCATGCCCACAAGATATCTAAGTCCAGACTTCTGCTGACTCTCATCTATCATCAGTTTGCCTTGACTGTTAGTTGTTCAGACAGTTAATTGTTCAGATTCTTGTTTAGAGGTAGCTTGGAACAGACATTTATTCATTTGAACAACCCTGGTTCCTGAATTCTTGCACTTGACGTGATGCTCTCTGGATGCTTGTAGTGATTAGGTGGACAGTGTTGTCAGATGGCAGCGGAATCAGACAGTGAGGAAGAATGGGGACCACAGGGAGTCTGGGGAGGACTCAGACGAGGGTCAGGCGTCTGATGCAGAGATGGGGCCAGGATCATTGGGGAGTTGTGTGCTGACTCCGGAGCCTCCAGAGTCTGGCAGCAGCGAGGCAGAGGAACAAGGGGAGCCTGTTCCCAGTGCGGGTATGCGCAGAGCTGCCAGAAGGCAGAGCAGCTAAGACAAAAGGGGCAACTCGGGAGTGATTGCTATTAATAATAGATATAAAGAAAGTGCAAAGGTAGAGAAACCTTTGCAGGAAGCAAAGTTGTTCGCTCTATTCAGATTAAACCTTGAAGCTCTGTGTGGACTTTGTACTCATTTGGCTTTTTACAGTTAATTTGGCACTTTAGTTGTTGGCACCAATTCAGAGGAGATAAAGGTGGGTGCTTATCTCGAGCAACTGTTTGAGATTCATTACGGGCTGGGAGTTCCCAGCATTGAAATAAAACAAGAATTGTTTGAACTAAGCGTGTGCTTAATTATGGTCTCCAGAAGCCTTGGTCATAACAGACAGGTCAGTGTAGAAAAAGGAGGAAGAGTGTGCTCCTGGAGTCAAGCTTAGGACCACAGTGGAACATGAGCCTTAAGAAGTTCCTAACAAAGCCACCCTTCACACCAAACCCTTTTGAGTTGGAGAAAAAGGAACCGGAGAGAAAAAGATACTGAACAGCCTTGATCCAACTGTTCTACTTAGCCATAGCCTATTTTGGTTTCAGGCAAAGAAGGCAGCATCAGAAATTAAGAGTAAAGTATCAGTGAACTGAACTCGCTTCTCAGAAAAGGGCTCAGCTTGTTATACTGGTTTGTAGTGAAAGAAAGCAGATTTTCAGCCAAAAAAAAATGTCTGAAGACCATTTGATTGACATATTCATAATTTACTTTTTCTCTAGCAAACACCTACGAAGCCCGTGTTATAACTGGAATGATATGGGGAGCTGGTACTGATGCCAATGTTTACCTGAGCATCTATGGTGAAAGGGGAGACACTGGGGAACGTCATTTGAAGTACTCGAATAATCTGAACAAGTTTGAAAAGAAACAGGTAAGTAGCCAAATAACAGAACTCCAAAGGATTTGCTCCATATACCATGTTTTCCCCAAAATAAGACCCTGTCTTATATATTTTTTGGCCACCAAAAAAGGCACCAGGTCTTATTTTCGGGGGACATCATCCACTGACTAACCTCACTTGCGTGCGTCGCCTCTGGCCTCCCTTTTTCTGTCAGAGGCCTTCAGGAACTTCTTCTTCTGTGGCCAGCAAGGCTTTCCTGAAGGCCTCTGCAGCTGATAACAGAGCTCTGGATCGATCCAGAGCTTCTTTGTTACCAGCTATAAAGGCCTTCAGGATAACCTTGCCTGCCTTGCCGGCTGCAGAAGAAATGGGTCGGCAAGGCAGGTGTCGGGGTGTGCGAGGCATGGCTAAAACTGTCCAATGGCAAGTAGTAGAGCAGCTCCATCACCTCCCAATCCCCACCCTAGCTTAATTTTTACCCATGGACTCTGGAGTGGGTGAGTTCTTAATTAGGGCTTATTTTGGGAGTAGGGTTTATATTGGGCATACGTGTAAAAATCAAGCTAGGACTTACTTTCCGGGTAGGTTGTATTTTCGGGGAAACAGGGATTCCTATAATTATTATATATAAATATATGTGCTCCTCTCTCTATGTGGTCTTCCTCATTCAGCAGGTCTCTGCATCCAATTTATTATAATATATATTAATTTTATTGGTTGTTTTGTTCTCTACAATTAGTCCTTGACTTACAACAGTTCATTTTGTGACCATTCGTAATTACAAGAGCACTAAAAAAAAGTGATGATCATTTTTTCACACTTTACGACCATTGCAAGCACCCCCAAGGTCACATGATCAGAATTCAGAGGCTTGGCAGCTGACTCATATTTATGACGGTTGCAGGGTACCTCGATCACATGATCCCTTTTTACAACTTTCTGACAAGCAAAGTCAACGGGGAAGCCGGATTCACTTAACAACCATGTCAGTAACTTAACAGCTGCAGAGATTCACTTAACAACTGGGTCAGGAGAAATCGTAAAACGGGTCAAAACTCAATAAATGTCTTGGCAGCAGAAATTTTGTGTTCAGTTGTGGTTGTAAGTTTCTTCAACTTACAACCACAACTGAACACAAAATTTCTGCTGCCAAGACATTTATTGAGTGGTCACCTGTAGTTATAAGGACATAATAAATAAAATAACTGCAGTTACTATTACTACACTTTTAACTATTTAAAGTTCACTGAAGAGAATTCTACAGAGAATTCTGATGGGGGGAAAACTTGGCAGATCTCTCATTGGCTCTTCATCAAGCTGTAAACCTGGGCTCACTTAAAATGTGAAATCTTCCCTTCAGCCAAGCTCAATTCCAGACAATTGCATGTTTTCTTGGTAACAACACAGAAGGGGAATAGTTTGTCACTGCCGCCTTTCAGGATGGTTTTTTGCCCCCCCAAATGTATCTATCTAGCCTGCAGCCCTGGGTTTTCCTGGTGATCTCTCATCCTGGCCTGTCCCACTGAATTTAATGACATTAACTTTTGACTTAGGTCCTACGTAGGAATGTAGTGGGATCTGTCTGTCCAGCTGTCTGTCCATAATTTCATTTCTGTCTGTCTATCTATCATCTATCAATCGTGTGTCTCTCTCTCCATCTATCCATAATTTCATGTCTGTGTGTGTGTGTGTGTCTGTCTGTGTCTGTCTATATCTATCTGTCTATCTATCTATCTATCTATCTATCTATCTATCTATCTATCTATCTATCTATCTATCATCTATCTATCTATCTATCTATCTATCTATCTATCTATCTCTATCTTTCTATCTATCTATCTATCTATCTATCTATCTATCTATCTATCTATCTATCTATCTATCTATCTATCTATCTATCTCTGTCATCTCTCTCTCCATCCATCCATAATTTCATGTCTGTCTGTGTCTGACTGTCTCTCTGTCTCTCTATCAGTCTGTCTGTCTCTCTGTCTCTATCTGTTTATCTATCTATCTATCTATCTATCTATCTATCTATCTATCTATCTATCTATCTATCTTTCTATCGATCTATCGATCACCTATCTATCTAGCTATCTAGCCATCTAACCATCTAGCCATCTAGCTAACATCTAGCTATCATCTCAATCACCCCTCTCCCTCTCCATTCATCCATCTGTGCATAATTTCATTTCTGTCTGTCTGTGTCTGTCTCTCTATCTCTCTATCTTTCTACCTCTCTATCATCTATATGTCTATCATCTCTCAATATCTGTCTGTATTCCATCTCTCTCAATGTCTGTCTGTCTCTCTGTCTCTCATCTATCCATTTGTCTTTCTTCTCTCTCTCTCTGTATCATCTGTCCATCTATCTGTCTGTCTGTCTATCTGTCTATCATCTATCTAACCTTCTGTATCTCTCCTCTCTCTCTCTCTATCCATCCATTATTTCATTTCTTTCTCTCTCCC